AAGAAGAAGAAGAAGAAGAAGAAGAAGAAGAAGAAGAAGAAGGGCACCCACAGACTTATGACCAAGCATAGGTCAAAAAATGTGTGATAAGTTTAATTAAATTTAAAGGAACAGAGTCTAAATGGAACAAAGTCACTGTTTATTTAGGTTTACGACATGCTCCCATTGTCACACTTAGCTGTGGTTTTGTTTTTCCCAATTAATTCTCCCAACAACCCAGCGAGTCACAAACCTTGGATAAAATGGTGACCTTCACATACCATTTTAAAACCCTCCCCTTGTAGAAATCAACTGTTCCAACAGCCACACTCCCTTCCGCAAGGAACACCAGCATGGCAGGGGAGGCCAGAAAACCATCCATCGGAGCCCTCCCAAACCTTACCCAATCCCCCCAAATGTTCGATCCACGAGTTTTCCTCGCAAGATCAAAGCAGCTGGGGCAAAACTTACTCCCCAAAAATGCTTCACGGCCTTACCCAAATGCCCTCCGTTTTAATTAAAGGTAAATTGGAGTCTAATTTAAGTTTTTTGCCCTATTTTTCCCTCCGTTCCTTTGTAGCGCCTGGCCTCAAGTCATGCCATCAAAAGCGTGAAAATGACCGCCGCCGCAAAAAAAAACCCACCACCACTTACACCTCCCTAACTTTGTTTTAACACTGTAACCAAAGAGAGAGACAAAGAGTATTTTCCCATGTGTTGTTTAGAGAGGAGGAATTTACTTGCAAATTACTCACTGACAATGTAGTCAAGTAAAGTATCATTTTGAAGAAAAGGGTTTTTTTTTAATCATGGGGTGCTTCCCCTCCCCCCCAATCATACTAGGTTTGAGAATGTGGGGATACAGAGCTCTTCTCTAGAGGTCAGCTTGCATCTCTGGGAGAAGCAAAGGAGGTGTGATGACCCAAAGGGGTGTGGCACAAAGGCAACCCAGTCAGATCATCAGTAGGAGTCCCTTTATCAGCTCCAACTTTGCCCCCAATGTCCAGGTTACCTTCTGGGCTGGAGAAAAAACTCTCCCAGGAACAGCCTTTGGCTGCAGGGAATCAAGTCCAAAACGTGGTCAACAAAAACTGGAACTATAAGTCCAAATAGGGCAAAATGGGGTAATTAGTCTGGTAGGGCAGGAGAAGGAATTCCAGATGTGAAGGAAGGGCACTAATTCAACCCAGTTGGGAGGATGCCAGGAACACAGATAAGCAAAGTCAACACAAGATAATAAGCTCACGTCTGTATCCAGCAGACGCTGCACTCAGCATGCATCTCTTTTAAACTCTCTTCCCAGCTGTGTCTAATGAAGGGAATCAGGGCCCTTTCCTCCCCCGTAAGCCAGGCAATCCACATTGCTCTCTTCTCCTTTCCTCCCTGTGTGCTCTAGGATGAAGAGGGGGTGGACCTGGGTCTTCCTCTAAACTCCCTCTCCCTTGCTCTACCTCTTGCCTGCTCTGCCCAGCCGGACTTTGCCCTTCCCCAGTTTCCTCCACAGCCAATGGAGCCACACTCCCGCTCCCTGTCAGCTGTTCGTCCTCCTCCTCAGATTCAGACTCTGACAGGGGCATGACAGGAAGACTTCAAAACAACCCATAAATAGCCTTCATCCACAGGTATTTTCATCCAAATAGTTGCCTTGTTTTATGGATCACTCAGCACCAAGAGATCCACCGAGGACTACCTATAGCAAATTGAGTGCCATCAGACCAGAGGTGGCCATCACCAAGTATGTTCTCAGCAATCATTTTATATCTTCTGTGTAGTTTTCTTGGGATTTTTTTAAAGGTTCATTGTTTATCTTCTCCCACTTAGTATGACTTGATGCCATAGGAGAAGAGCAGGCAGAGCTGGGAGGCGGAGTTAAACAAGTCATCAGCCTAGAATCGTTATGTCACCACAAATGGTCCAAGTCCCCTTGAATTCCATTGAATCTTCTTTTTGTGCCATATCTGTCACTGGACGTTGGCAATCATGTTGGCGATCCTATTTTTATCAACAACCGCTTGAAAAAGGGCTGCTGAGTTTTGTCCAAACCAGCGCCTTAGATTTGGAAGCCACAATGTTCTTCTTCTGTGTGGACCTTCATTTCCCTTCAATCTTTCCTTGGAGAGGATTAAGTGAAGGATGCCGCATTTTTCCGGGTGTGGCATCCCATGTCCGAAATATTCTAACTTTGGCTTTTTTATGCTTTTAATGATTCCTCTTGGCTTTCCCAGGTGGCTTATCCCCTCCTCCTTTCTGATTTTGTCAACCCAACTTATACATAACGGCCGCCCGTAAATACACATTTCAAATGCTTCTTCCGGTCTCTTCCAAGGGACTTCCTGTCCAGAGACCAACTCTCCACTCCGTAGAGCAGGATAGAAAAGATGCAGAATCTGACAGGCCTGGTTTTTCAATCTCGGATTTATGTCGTGAGGGCAGAAGAGCTTTTTTTTTTATTTTGAAGAACGCCGTTGGAGCTTTCTCTATCCTTCCTTCAAGGATCATGTCCAAGCTTTCATGTAAATTAGAACCGAGGGGCGCGATCCTTTCAACTTCTTCTAGTGGTATTCTTTCCGAAGTTACTGACTCTTAGCTGGGGCCAGCAGTGGCTCAGCAGCTAAGATGTTGAGCTTGTCAATCAGAAAGGTCGGCAGTTCGGCGGTTCGAATCCCTAGCACTACGTAACGGAGTGAGCTCCTGTTCCTTGTCCCAGCTTCTGCCAACCTAGCAGTTGGAAAGCATGTAAATAAAATGCAAGTAGAAAAATAGGTACCACTTTGGTGGGAAGGGAGCAGCGTTCCGTGCGCCTTCCAAGGCGTTTAGTCATGCCAGCCACATGACCATGGAGACGTCTTCGGACAGCGCTGGCTCTTCAGCTTTGTAATGGAGATGAGCACCACCCCCTAGAGCCAGAAACAACTAGCACGTATCTGCGAGGGAAACCTTTACCTCTAGTTGAGTAGACTCTTGTGTTTAAGCCTGAGCAACCTATCTTCTGAATTGCAACTTAACATGCGGTCCTGATCTTTTGCGCCTGACGATGCCTTTGCCACTAGAATAGATCTTCCGTCCACAGCATCTCTCTCGATCTCTGCTGCTCCGGGCAGAGGCCTGCTTAGTTGACCTGGGTAGTTGGTATGACCTCAGATGAACCTGCTGAGAACGATCTTCTCTTGGCTCTGTGTTCTTTTGATGTCAGATAATACCAAGAACATCTACCAAGAACCTCTTCTCACCCAATCCCAATGTTCTTTGCTCATTCTTAGGAGCGATGAGTGAGACAGGACCTGAAGTGGGGTGGAAAATACCCTCCAATATGGCTATAAATACAAATTGAGATTGGAATCAATTCGGCTTCTGGCTTCGTGGCTAGAAAAGGCTGGCCCCTACTGTGAATGGGAGGACTTAAGAGCTTTAAGCCTTAATTAATGAAAAACAACAACTTATCCCTCTGTCCTCTGGATGAACTGTGATCGAGGAATTAACAATGAAATGGGGCACTACAATTTTGCAGGAGCAGAAGAGAAAGGGAGCCCACCACTCTCATCCTATCAACCACCAACTCCTTTTTTCCTGTATCTGAACTTCTCTCTCCAGCAAAAATAAGGAAATATTCTTCTCTGGGTGTCTCTACACACGTTGAAAGCGGCAACGTAGATCTGGTTAATTTCTGAAAATGGTTTTACGGGGCGAAAGAATTAGGGTGGAGCAAAATC